GGCACACTCTACATCATCGATCACTTTCCTCTTTGGCCCCATAATCTCCTTGATCAGAAAATTTGGGACACCACTTAGTTACAGGATGTCACAGCAGAGGTTCTCTTATGGCCTGAGTCCTCACTGATCCTGAAGGGCTAGGGTCAAAATATTGGCTATCTTTTTAGCCCATCTATCTGTCTAATTCTTGGTCTGCAAACTTTAGTTGTTAAACATCCAGAAGAGATGCTTACTGATATTATTACCCTATAACAGAGGCAGGTAAGCTTAACACCACTATCTGAATGTCACATACCTTAGACATAAAATGAAACTGCTGTTTCCCAAAATCATGGCTGTTCTAAAGTTCAAATCCCTTTAGAATGTTAAAAAAACAATTACACATTTTAAGAGTTCTTGAAACCCTATGTAGTTTGTGTTCCCAAGTCAAATATGTCCTGTCTTGTTTAGATTTATTACACTTGTCTAAGTGTGGCATATTGGAAACAGTTTTAGAGAAGAAAAGAAAAAGATCATTTGTTTTAGGAGAAATCAAACTGGGAAGAAGGGGAAGGTCAGCTCCACAGTGCCCACAGGCCAGCCTGGCATTTAATACCAGCAGCCACATTCCCAGGATGAGGTCATCGCAACCACGCACCACTCCCTAGAGGAGAGCCGCTGCTCAGTTCTCAGGCACTAGTGTGTGTGTGTGGGGGGGCACAGAGACAGGAAGGAGAGGCTGTGCACAGAACCAGATGGAGTGGGCAGCACGAGCGCCCTGCTTGTCACTGCAGGATGGATGACCTGTAAGGTACTGCTGAATTATCATAGCTTCTGCAGGAGAGCCCCGTGTAAGAGTGTGGGTGACGCCAGCCACGGGCAGGTGACAGCTTGGCGTGTGCCAGGACTGCTGGCCTGTCCTCTGCATAGCTCCAGTGCTGTAAAAACTGTTCAGAAAAGTGCCTTTGGCAGGAAATTTCTAGGATTAAGTGAAGACTAAGTAAATCTGCCCTTTAAAGAAACTGCAGGACATGCAGAGTACAAACTGGGAAAGTGGAGATGAGCATTACCGATCATAAAAGAGCCAACATTTTATGGACAATTTACTAGGTACCACACCAACTACTGAAAGTATAACATTATTTAATAGATGAAAAACTTGTGGGGCATGTATTAATAATATACAGAGGGGCCAGTTTGTGCCTTAGTATACTGAGGCAGGAGATTAGGGCATGGCCGCCAGCAGGCAGGTGGGTGTGATGTGTCCATCAATCACACAAATCTAGAACACATGCACTGAGAAAACATTCCACGGGCCACACCTGGGACCCATCAGAAGCTGCTCCTCTTCAGCTCTGCTGCAAGATCAAGCAGGTTTTTTACTGGACAGCCTAGATCTGACATCAGCCCGGGAATGGGAGGATATAAAAGACAGTGGCCCCTGCGTGCTTGCTCATTTGGTGGCCCATTCTCACCCGGCAGAACATACTTTTTTTTTTTTTTTTACTACTTTAATTGGTCTGTATTTCCTCTGCAGAGCATATTTCTTTTCCTACTTTTAATAAAAGTAAAACCTTGTTGCCATCAATCCTTTGTTTAGGACCACAAGAACCTGGGGGGAATCTCTGGAAGGAGTCCCCAGCACCCAGAACCTCACTAACAATACCACTGCGATTAGGCAGAACCAAGATTCCAGGGCCCAGGCTCTAGTGTGCCCAGCAGTAGACAGCTTTTCCCAGACAAAAATCCAGCACATGGGGCCTAAAGTACATTAGCATACATTGAACATTTGCCATTCGAGCTGCTGAAGAAAATCTTGGCAGTGGAGTCCCTGTCTCTTTATGTCAGCAGAAAGTTATAGATCATATTCACATTACTATTCTTGCTTCTTTGGCAATAGGGAAACCATGCTGTTTATACTGAGTGTGCAATTACCCTCATCCGGACTGACCTATTGGAAGTTAAAGATAGTTTTGTTTGGAGTCCATAGGATCATAGGCCAAAGTGCTCCTTGAATATGCAGTGTATTATTTGTTGAAACTGTACTTTCGATTTGATTTGAAACTGTCTCATTGCTATATGTTTATCAATAAAACTTTGAAAAGAAAAACAAAACAAAACAAAACAAAAAAAACCAAAGTGCTCCTTGAGGGACAGGTGCTTCTGGCTTCTTTTAAAAGGGCCACTTAACCAGGATATAATTTTGTCGAAATTAGTTTCAACCAATGATTGAAATGTGCATCACCCTGCCTTTTTACTTTCTATTTCAGCTGCAAAGTAAGCAGTATTATCCACTAAGGAGACATGTGAGGTGAACAGGCAAACACTTCTATTTCTAAGTTTTGAACTTTTGGATCAGATTTTAAGCCTATTTGTAGGACTGACTTTGTAAGTAGAGGTAGAGAAGGCAGACGGTTGGCTGGTATGATTTGACAGTTCCTATTTAAACCATTTCTATTTTTATCCTGACACTGTCCACAGCCATGGTCAGGTTGATGAACTATGGAGGGAAGAAGTGGAGATGTTTGGGTGAAAGCATAGATGGGGACATGGAAGATCTGAAGTCCCGTCATACTGGCTTCCTCTTGGAATTTCTATCTGTACTCTTTGAAAACTGAGCTATACTAGAGAAATGGCTATTCTGGGGGAGTAAGCAATCCCCACTTATGTACTGGACCAGTGGATTTTGACCTCCACGGAAGTTTTTATAGAACAGTCAGCTCGCGGAGAAAGAAGAACAGTTTTTGAACACCTGTTACATGTTTGGCATGCTAGGTGTTCTGTATACATCAGGTCATTTAAAAATCCTTTCATTCCTGCCACAGGAGGAAGCCAAGGGTGAGAGGTTACAACGGAGGCTCACAGAGCCACGTGACCAGCTCATGGCCCTCCTCCACTGCTCTGGCTACCCGTGAGATCTGCCATGACTTTCTCCAGGCCGCGTGCTTCTTTCCTTCAAGGTGGACCCGGGACCCTGCTCCACGCAGGGCACTCACCTCATAGGCCTGATCCTAATTGGAAAAGCCCAGTAGAATCTAACAGTCAGTCTGTAGAATTCACCCACAATTTACTGAGTCACTACTGTAATTGTTATCTTAGTGGTGTAGATCTCAATGGTTTTAGTCTCTTCTCTCAAAAAGCTAATAGTTTGATGTGTGTTTGTGCACGCACAAAAAGTACTATAAAATGTTATAGTAAAATGAACAAAATGCCTATGTAAGAAACAACTCTTTGGGGAAAAATGTCGTGTAAGTGACACAGTAAAAATCCTTGTGGGCTAAGACTTCTGTAGAATGGTTACTACCTCTCACTGCTCCATAGATACTATGTAGTCCTCCCTAGCATCTAGAGACGCCTGCATAATGGAAGCGGGGGAGTGGATCTCTAAGTTCTGTACCAAGGGACTCGGGAGCAGCTCTTCCATCCCATGTCAAAAAGTGCTGACATTTCAGCTCTTCTCGCTGCTCCGCCTATTTCTGAGCCACTGGTCCAGGGGAAGGCTGATTCTCCATAATTGTGCTCCTGTAGTTATGTGTGAGTCACCCCATTTCCATTTCACTGTACAAGCTCGGGCTTACCCTCATTAGTACGGATTGTTGTAAGAGCCCTTCATCAAGCACCCAGTAACCTGAGACAGCAGGTGGTATGAGGCATAGCGGGAAACAAATATCATCTAGGTCCATGTCCCTATCTGCAGCTGTAGGAAAGGAGATTACATCAAGAAGGAGTTCCTTTAGTGTGGCCAAAAGTTCTTTTGTTCCATGCTTCGAAGATTCGTATAAACACTGTACATCACTGATGGGCACCCAAGAGCCTCAGACTGCAGAAAGGGCTAACAACTCTGCATACGTATGTGTGTGCTTATGCACATACGTGTGTAAAAATGTGAATACCCCCAGGTGTAGCTGTGCGTGCACACAAGTCTGCGTTGTGGATCTGTGTGCTTGTGACTACGCCTGTGTGCATGTTAATGTGACCGTGGAGATGCGCGTGTGGCTAGAGAAACGCTCCCTGTCAGCGCTGTCTCCCTGCGGGCTGTGGGCTGCAGCACAGCGACCCAGGCGGGCAGGGCGCTCCGACCCCAGGCTGCGGCGGAAAGTTTGCAGCTCCGTGAGGACGCCCGCTCAGAGCCCCTCGGCGACCCGCACGCACGGCGGGGCCTCTCCCGCGGGAGGGCTGGGCCGGCCGGCGGCGGAGGGCGAGTGGCGG